AAGCTTTTGTGCTTCTTTCTGGGAGATCTCTCGCCCGCCCCCACCCCTCATGCAATGTTAGCAATTAGGCAGCACTTTGACGAGAGAGAGAGAGAGAGAAAAAAAAGACCTATAGACGAGCTGAGCGTGGAGTTGGGCGACGCGGGAATGAAGGCAAGGCAGGAACATTTGCTGCGCAACTCCTACGCTGCGAACGGGCGCGGCGTCATCGCCCATCCTCAGCGCTGCTCAGGTTGCAGCGCCGTTTAGAAATGCTTGCAAAAAAACCCCAAAAAAGTCTGGGCACTCAGGTGACCCGTGAGGACACAGATCAACCTCCAAGTGCTTCAACGACCCTCTTAAAAAAAAAAAAAAAAGGATGCAGAATGCAAATGACCAGCTGTTTGCAAGGGATTATAAACCCTTCCATTCCCCACCATCCAATCAGAACTGAAGAAGCTTCTTGGATGAGAAGCGAAACATCTTCAAAAGAAAAAAAAACCAAGAAGGTCCAGCTGCCTCCTGAAAAAAAAAAATGCACCTTTGGGATAATCTGGAGCAAAGCAGGGGTGAAATCCAGCCGGTTCTAACAGGTTCTGGAGAACCGGTAGCGGAAATTTTGAGTAGTTCGGAGAACCAGCAAATACCACCTCTGGCTGGCCCCAGAAATGGGGTGGGAATGGAGATTTTGCAATATCCTTCCCCTGCCACGCCCACCAAGCCATGCCCACAGAATCGGTAGGGAAAATTTTTGGATTTCACCCCTGGAGCAGAGGTCTTCAACCTTGGCAACTGTAAGCCTTGGCGGACTTCAACTCCCAGGAGACCCCTGATCTGGAGGACTGAGAATCTCTACAGACTTTTACGCTTAGCAAAACCCAAGCGCGTCGGAAAGGGCTCTTCCTTGGAGTCCCGTTTCTCTGTGATTTTCTTAACTCCTTACTGATTGAATAAACTGCAATGGGAGGTGGGGGAGGGCTGGGGTTGGCACGTCGCAGGCAGGAGTCAGTCAAAACGCTTGAGCCGAATGTGTGAATATTAGTCGCAGAGATTTTTGTTCCTTCATGGTTGTTCCCGGCTCGCTCCTTTAGGTGGACAGAGCCCGAGTTGCCCCAGGCTCACTGACATGACTCATAGATCTTAAAGACTCATAGATCTGTAAGCCTTCGGCAAAGATCGCAAGCTATGAGTAAGGAAACACAAGGAAACTTTAGATTTAATGGAACTCGGTGCGATGACTTTAAGAAGAGGAGGATAAAAAAAAACCAAAACGAACCGGTGCCATTTGTGTCCTTTGTGTAACAATGCTATTAGGCTAATGTGCATGTGCGATTATGTCATTTGCACAAATCGTATCCCCGCCAGCAATGTGCATTCTGATTTTAACAAGACAATCAAGAATAATGGATACTTCCTTTCCCTATTAGTCCATTAAATGGAGAAGATGGGCAATCCATAAATCTAATTAACAAACAAGCCAAACAAATAAATCAAGATTTCATGGTAGAGGAAGAAACATTTCTTCAGATATTATGATTTCTAAGGGGTTTTTTTATATCAGTGTCAGCCCTTTTAATGGGGACTGGAAATGAACTGGGAGCCAGTGCAGTCCTTGCCTTATGACCACACTTGGGACCAGAATTTCTGTTCTTAAGCAAGGTGGTGTAGAAAATTAGTACCCACCCCTCTTCTAGAAGAATGAAATATTTTGAGATATAAAAAAAAGCAGAATATTATATTTCTCTGGATTAGAAATGGAGAGACATGTTATTTTAGAGGGAGAAAGCAGCCCCCACCTTTTCTTAATAGCCCACAGCAGATGTCAGCACTTAAGACATAAAGAGATAGATAAAGAGTTAAGAGATAAAGAGATAGATAATTCTATTCATAAGTAAATACCCTCACCCAAGATCCAACACAGGAAAAAACCATTAAGCCATAATAGGAATTGCCCAACACCAGGGCTGTCAAACTCCCAGCCCATGGGCCGGATTTGTCATGTGCTGGCCACACCCATGCCTGGTTTAGCGAAGGAAAAAAGTCCCAGTGCGTCATGTGGTGGCAACGTGAGTTTGACACCCCTGCCCAACACTCTTTCAGAACACAAGCCTCTTCATTGCATCATCTCAGCAGTCCAAACTTCAACTAAACCTGGGAGCTCAGACAACCTATAGAGCTAGTTATGACCCTTACATAACCCCTACAACAGCCAATAGAATACATATTCTTGCACAGGAACGGGAAGTTCAAGTGCAAAGCCCAAGAGAAGGTATAAATGCCCCCCACTCTCAACTCCATGTGGTCAGCTGCACCAGAACCACAAATATGTGGTTCTGTTCATCAATAAATGGACCCTCTTTCCAATAAGCCTCCAGCCTTCATTTTCTCTCCAGTGCTTTTCTCCCAGCTTGGAACTGAACCAGATGGATATTTCTTCCCACAATGGTTAGGTGATTTTATCTTCATCCAAGATATCTAGTTGTAATTAGCTGCCACTTGTTTGAACATTTTGTCCAGGAAAGAAACGTTGAGCAGAAGCTTATACATATTCAGAACTTCTCTGTCCGAGTATGTTATGTTCCAGACTGTCCACATTATGATTGTCTTTAATGAAAATGAGATCATTTTTTAAAGGAGCCATTTATAAGCTCTTTTATCAAAGTGAACATCTATGTCATATTAAATATAATAAGTCAAGAAGAGAAAGATTGAGTAAACAGGTAGATGGCTGAACTCCGGGGTGAAATCCAGCAGGTTCTGACAGGTTCTGGAGAACTGGTAGTGGAAATTTTGAGTAGTTTGGAGAACCAGCAAATACTACCTCTGGCTGGCTACAGAATGCGGTGGAATGGAGATTTTGCAATATCCCTCCCCCAGGAGTGGGGAGGGAATGAGGATTTTGCAGTATCCTTCCCCTGGAGTGGGGTGAAAATGGAGATTTTGCAGTATCCTTCCCCTGCCATGCCCACCAAACCACGCCCCTCAAGCAACTCCCACCAAGCCACGCCCACAAAACTGGTAGTAAAAAAATTTGAATTTCCCCACTGCTGAACTCTATTAAACTAATCTGAAAGGTAACCAAAACAAATCTGGTTAGCAGGTATCCTAGACACACTTTAGAAGATGAACTGCCAATACTATAGAATGAGGCATGATTAAGATGATTAATTTTATTCTGAAAGTGATATGTTTACCCAAATGTTTGACACTAAGTTCCCAAGGGTTTTGAAGCAGCACCTCTCAACCTTGGCAACTCTAAGGAATGTGGACTTCTATTCCCAGTTTACCCCAGCTTGCATGATGGCTGGGGAATTCTGGGAGTTGAAGTCCACAAGTCTTGGAGTCAACAGGCTTGAGAAACACTACTCTAAATGGTTATGTTGGACCACCTCGAAGGGCTTCGTTGGGCAAAATTCACTGGAGGAGAAAAATATTGGATTCACCCCATTCACTACCTCAGCATAGTCTTAGTAATGTATCCTCTAGTACAGTGTTTCTTAACCTTGGCCACTGGACGATGTGTGGACTTCAACTCCCAGAATTCCCCAGCCAGCAGAGCTTGGTAGAGCCTTGGTAGTACAGTGGTCTAAAGCACCCTGTTATTAAGAACAGCTGCCTGCAATTACTGCAGGTTCGAATCTCGCCAAGGCTCAAGGTTGACTCAGCCTTCCATCCTTTCTAAGGTAGGTAAATTGAGGACCCAGTTTGTGGGGGCAATAAGCTGACTTTGTATAAATATACAAAAGAATGAAGGCTATTGCTTAACGCATTGTAAGCCGCCCTGAGTCTCTGGAGAAGGACGGCATATAAATCAAATTTAAAAAAAAACAAAAAAAAACCACCAAAACCCATGACTTGGATGACTGAGAATCTCCACAGACATCCTCATCATCCTCATCCTTTCTCCCAAAGAAGACCCGAGTGTGTGATAAAACAGTAGAAACACAGTGTTTAATTGTACAACAGTTCAAAAGAATATTTATTTAACAAGCAGTCTGTTCCTGGAACATTGGTCATCATGTGACTTGTCAATTTCTGGATGACTAAACACATCTAATGTCATTTTGGACTAAATAGTGGGAGATCCAGTTGTGTTTCCCTGGAAGGAGAATTCCACAATCAGGCACCATATCTGAGAAGGTCCTAGTCATAGTCACCATACTTTGAATCAAATCCAGTTGTAGGACCAAAAGCAGAACTGATCGTATCATATGTCACTTATGCTTAGCAATGTCTAAATTTAAATGAGACAATCAAAAAGCCAAAAAGGAAACAAAAGGACCAAAAATCTCTTCAGCAGTAATCAACACCAAGATGAATATAGGTTAACATCACGACCAACACAGACAAACAAGCGAACAGTAAACAACAGCTTAATTAAGGAACCACCAAGACCACTCCCACCAATACCGACAGGGCAAGCCACTAGTATATAAAATGAGAAAAACCCCTCTCCCCTTTACCATTGATGATGTTACCTAGCTGGGTAACGAAATGTCTTCAACAGTGGTGAAATCCAAATTTTTTTACTACTGGTTCTGTGGGCGTGGCTTGGTGAGCGTGATGTGGCTTGGTGGGCATGGCAGGGGAAGGATACTGCAAAATCTCCATTTCCTCCCCACTCCTGGGGGAAGGATATTGCAAAATCTCCATTCCCACCCCACTCCTGGGACCAGCCAGAGTTGGTATTTGCCAGTTCTCCGCACTACTCAAAATTTCTGCTACCAGTTCTCCAGAACCTGTCAGAACCTGCTGGATTTCACCCCTGATCTTCAAGAAAACACACAATATCAAAATTAATAGATTACAAAAATGGAATTCCCAACTGCAACTACTTAAGGTTGATTGAAATTGAGAGGGAAAGAGAAGAGAATATGATTCTACTTTGGGAGACAAGTAAGGAAAATATTTATTTACATTTCATATTTTTCTGCTGCCAGAATCCAAAATTATAACAGAATTTCAGCCTGAATATTGTTACAGTTTTCCTCATTAGGATTTGTATTATTTCAGAGACTTACCTGGGTTACTGCTAACATGCTTTCTATTTTTCTGGCAATAGTTGGACCGAGGAGAGTATTCTTTCTAGGGAAAAGAGTGGGAAAGAGAAAGGGCCATGAATGCACAATTTATCATTATTTCAATTCCTAGGTGCTTTTCTAAAGGTTAGAAGTTATTTTACCAGCTTGAATACCACTTTTCTCTTTGTTTTGTTATGGTATGAGCTCCAGCCTTATGCTGTGTAACCAATGCAACAGCCAAAAGAAAGGTATTATTTGGATAAAGCATCTCTCACTCACCGGCAGTTACATTTTGGCGCCACTTCTGGTTTTTAGGTAGTCTTCAAAGATGTGTTGTAGTAGTCTATCTTTGAGGTGACAAGGACATGAGTTACCATTATCAGGTCACACTGTTCCAGCAAGGGCTACATCTAGTATACCAGCCTGCCTGTTGCTTTCACCTCTTGAGGAATTAAGGCCATAAATCTGAGAGGACCCCCAGTTTACAGTCCTTCTTCTGGGATAGTATGATCCAGGGGTGAAATGCTCCCAGTTTGGACTGGATCACCCAATCCAGTAGCGATGGTGGCGGATGGTTCGGAGAACCGGTAGCAAAAATCCCTGTGCCCCCCCTCCCCATGCCCAGCTGAGCCGCACCATCATCAGAGGCTGTTCTGAAGAACTGGTAGCGGAAATTTTGAGTAGTTCGGAGAACTGGTAAATATCACCTCTGACTGGCCCCGCCCCCATTTATTCTCTGCCTCCCGAGTCCCAGCTGATCGGGGGGAAATGGGGATTTTGCAATAACCTTCCCCTGGATTGGAGAGGGAATGGAGATTTTATAGTATCCTTCCGCAGCCCTGCCCACCAAGCCCCATCCACCAAGCTATGCCATGCCCACCAAGCCACGCCCACAGAACCAGTAGTAAAAAATTTTGAAACCCAATACTGATTCAGAGGTCTGAGCATTAAATCACACAATGGGGGAAAGATCTGAGTCCTATAGAATTCACAATAAAGAAGCCAGAAGTTTACTATTTTTCTTCATTAACTATTGATTGGAAATGCCCAGTCAAGAAAGAGGGGAAATATCATAAAATAGTGTCTCCCAAATCAGAACCTTTGCAGGAGGTCCAGAACATAAATACATTCATTTGTTTGTTTGTTCGTTTGTTCGTTCATTCATTCATTCATTCATTCATTCATTCATTCATTCATTCATTCATTCAATTTTAGAGATCTTATAGGCCATTCAAATTATGTATACAATTCCCACGCTGTAACATGGATTAATACAACGAAATATAAATAGCTACAATTAGAGAATATGTGGCATGCACTGCATAGCAGAAATCTAGCCAAATTCAAAATGGAAGGATGGAGGTGTATCTGGGTCAAGTGATGAGGTAGTTATACCATTGCTACTTTTAAGGAGGATGGCAGCACAATTTCACTCAGTGATGATTTTACCATTGTCTTAATTGTTGGTGGTATCAAATATTGCTGAGAGAGGTTTAATAAGACTAGAACTTAATAGGACTTGTTCCATCTAGGGGCCAAGAAAGTCATCCACTAATGATAAGTGCTGTTTCAGTCTCTTTTTCCAGATCTGAAACGAAGCCAGATGATGTTTTTGTCAGAGTATGAATGTTCATAGACTGGAATAGACATGGTAACAGGTTAGCCAATGGGGACTGTTTGGAAACTGAAACATAGTATTTGTTTGTATGGGACCGTAAGAGACAGTTTGGAGTCTGGGCGTAGCTTGTATATAAGAGTTGGTTTGGCCTCTGTAATTAGTGCCTCTGTATAATATTACCCTCTGTATCTCTCTACTCTGTAATGACTTGCTTCTCTGAACATTGCTTCTGTGCTCCTGATTTTGTATGCTGACTTCTGCTGTATGGTATTATATATAAAGAAGTTTCATATATATAATTGAATCCTGCTGAAGTTCATTTACTTGTGTGCTGGTTGGATGTGCTGCAAATACTCTGACAGCTTTATGTAGGAATCTGTGCTTCACTATCATCTTCTGAATTTTGCCTCTACAACCTGCTCAGAGACAAGATAGTGGATTAGCAGAAAACTGTCTAATGCGGTTGGACCAAGAGAAGTCCTGTTTAGCAGAAGGTGCATCAAGCAAATGGTTGGTACATCTTCTCCAAAAGAAGAGTCCAATTACACAGTCATGTAAATGGCTGCCTGAAGAAGCTGTGCGGAGTGTGGATTCATCTCAATGCTTTGCCTATTGCTATTGAGAGTCATTCTGGAGACTCCACAGATGACTTTTTATATTGTTGTCCTCCTCATTTTATTAACCCTGTGCAACAGGGGTGCTACAGTATTCAGCAGGTTCTGACAGGTTCTGGAGAACTAGTAGCGGAAATTTTGAGAAGTTTGGAGAACCAGCAAATACCACCTCTGGCTGGCCCCAGAATGGGTGGGAATGGAGATTTTGCAATATCCTTCCCCCAAGAGTAGAGTGGGAATGGGGATTTTGAAGTATCCTTCCCCTGGAGTGGGGAGGGAATGGGGATTTTGCAGTATCCTTCCCTTGCCATGCCCACCAAGCCACGCCCACAGAACCGGTAGTAAAAAAATTTGAATTCCACCACTGCTGTGCAAATAATGGCTAATGTGAAACCAATGTGATTTGATCTGCCAAATATCTGGAAAACAGGTCAGCAGTCTAAAAGAGTCTTGCTGAATAGGCTTAATGTGGCCTTGAAAGAGAAGATGACTGCAAATAGTCTCTTACCCTGTATAACTAAAGTCTTTTCTACGTCTCATTTCAATCAAGTATCTGGGGCTATTCTTGCCAATCCAGGTATCATGAGAAGTGGACAAATTGGCCTGTATATATCAGATTAATTCCACTGGTTTGCACAAAATAACCGTGTTAGAGGAAATGAGATACTCCTGGCTGCTTTAATCTTGGGCACCAATTAATGGGATGATTTTCACATCGAGATCCAGTTTTCCAAAAGTTATTTAGTTTAGGCTTTAGCTTGGCATCTGAATTAAGAAGCAGTCCCAACCTGTCCTCTTACAGATTTCTGCACAAAAAGGCTTTGTCTTTCTCCATGGTTCCCTGAAGGTTACCACATGTCAGTACAACTGGTTGCTAAGTGATGGTTATCTGGAGCTGTTCCTTTGGACATTGTGTCTTGTGGTTAAAAAGAAGACTTTTCCTCCCACAACTGTACTTACAAAAGTGAAATTCCTGCATTTGACACCCTGAGATGATGACATTTGCACACATCTCATCTCCAAAATCATTTTTTGCAGCATTTTAACTCCCTGTCGACTTATCAGGCATCGTATGTTCCAAGAAAGTTTCATTCTAAATCAGAAGAATCCTGGAAATCAACGGGCTTATCTTGTAATATGATAATTCAAAAAGAATGCTGCCCCTAATATCTTGGGATGTTCTGGACAAGGCCCAGTTCATTTCTCTGAGAAGAGGGCTGTTCTTTCCTCTATTTATTTTGCTCAGTCTTCCCCAACTTGGCATTCCCCAGATGAACGGGTACCCATAATTCTTGAATTCTCAGCCAACATTCACGGAGAGGCTCAGCATATGTGTGGGGAGATGAAGATGGGAAGGCATATGGTTGGTGGGTGAGTGGTAGAGGAAGTTTTTTTCAATTATTAACCTATTTGATGCAATTTTATTCTAGTCAAGTACCAAAGTGAATCCTAAAATTAAGGCCATAAAAGGGTTGAACTTTAAGCAACAGGGGGATACTGATTTATCCAGATGCCCAAATCTCATCTTTATAACATAGGAAAATTAGTTTGATGAGGTTTGATAAAGGTTAGAGCAGCTAATGGCAGGCAGTCTTTCTTTGTTTCCCTATCTGCTGTTATTCAGTTTGGGGAAAGAGAATTATTTGATTAAGAAAATTTTCACAGGAGAACTCTAGAGAAATTCTCCCAGGGAGGAATCAATCAATCAATCAATCAATCAGAATAGATCTGGAAGGGACCTTGGAGGTCTTCTAGTTCAATCCTGGCTCAATCATTTCAGAAAGGTGGTTGTCCAGTCTTTTCTTAAAAACCTTCAGTGATAAAGAACCTACAACTTCTGAAGGTACGCCGTTCCACTGGCCAGTTGTTCTCACCGCTACGAAATTTCTCCTCAATTCCAGGTTGCTTCTCTCCTTGGCTAGTTTCCATCCATTGTTTCTTGTCTTGCCTTCTGGTGCTTTGGAAAATAAGTTGACCCCCTCTTCTTTGTGGCAGCCCCTCAAATACTGGAATAATGCTATTATGTCACCCTTAGTCCTACTTTTCTCTAGATTAGCCATACCCAATTCATTCTTCATATGTTTTAATATATATCATTGTACTATTCTTGTACTTGTTTAGTTATGAGACTCCAAGAGGTATGGGTGAGAATGCTCAGTTCTTGATAGTCATTTCTTCAGCAATCTGCATTTTCCTTGGCTTCTGATGCTTCTGTTGAATTTCATGGGAAAACACTACGGTGCAATACAGTTGATGGATTTCATCCTATTGGTAATGGTGCTTCTATAACCGTTAAGAAGAAATACTGCTCTTAAAAAAACTTGCAGAAAATCTCCATCCACCAAGAAAAATCTGTAGACATTATTATATATTTGTGCTAAAATCTCAGCCATTTTGACCCTAACTTATAAGTGGACAGTTGCCGAACATGTTTTTTTGTGATTTTAAAAACACATCAAGTGACATGACAAAGTACAAAGACCTAGTCTAGCCTTAGAACATAATGGCTCAATGGGATTTTATGTAATGTTTTTAGCAGTGTTTTATCTTTACTAAACATCTCAGCAAAAGGATACTAAACAAAAGGATACTCTATATCAGGACTGTCAAACGTGTGTCATCACAGTGGTGTTATGTGACATATCATGACTCCCCCACCCTTCGCTAAACTGGATATGGGTGTGGCCAGTGTGTGACGCATCTGGCCTGCGGGCTGCGAGTTTGACACCCCTGCTCTATATTAAAGATGGCACATAAAGCACAATTTATCATTTCAGGTCACATATGGGATGAAATTAAACTAATCCTTCTTTGCCCAAGAAGCTTGTTTTA